TAAAAAATGTCAACTTTGCATTAAATGTCCAAAACCTTACTCCCCCTTTTAAGCTTTTCCATTTCTATGGAGAACTGGAAATGCAGTTATTGAAATTCAGCAACGTGGTCTCTTTCTTCTTCGTCTTCATTGCCTTCTTTTATCTTTCCAAATACCCATTTCATCCTCATCTTCCCCCTTTTAGTCCGAGCATGGCTCAGGATTCGCCTACCTCCATATATGATTTCACTGTCAAGGTATTTTGGCTTTAATCTGAATCTTCTTTTCTTCTTTCCTTCCTTTGTTACATTAAGGTTCTATCTATCTTTGTTTCATCACTTTTTAAATTAGAATCGTGAAGACAAAATCAGAGTTTGATGGGTTTTCTTCTTGATAAAGTTTAATTTCATTTGCTCAAATTTTCAGCTTCTGAATTTTCGTTTGTGGCGTTTGAGCGATTATAACTTGTACTGTGAGTATTAAGAGTGCCGTTAAGATAATTGTTTATTAAAAATTATTTGATATTTGATAGAATGAACTGTTGAAATTACCATCACTTCGAAAAAATAAAAGCTGTTTGTTTGGTGAAGTAAGTTTTGATTGAAAGTCCAAATCATTTTCTAAAAACTATAAATTGTAACTTGTGTTTAAATCCATCAAAAATTAAAAAAAAAAATTAGTTTTGATTAGGCCAACAGCACTTTTTATTTTCTCACTTGGTTGCAAAAGTGCTCTGAAATGTAAAAGCAAAAGCCAAAACTTGCCGAAAAGCACTTTTAATATTTCATTTTCCCTGCTGATTTGATTGCTCATGAGCTCAATAATAGTTTTTGGGTAAATTTTCTTTTGTGCAATATCTGGTAGCTAAGAGAGAAAATATAGAGGAAAAAAATGTAACTGGGTGAATGAAGTTTCTAACTGATTGTATAAGTTTCTAACTAATGGATGCTAACCTTCTCTTTTAGCCTAGTTCTCATCATATGAATTTCTGGTTTAAAGGTTTTCTCACCTTTTCTCTTCCCTTCTTCATTTCATATATTTCTAACTTAAATTTTTTGTGATGAGAACAATTGTAGGATATCAATGGAAATGATGTAAGCTTCAATGAATACACCGGGAAGGTTTTGCTCATTGTAAATGTGGCCTCAAAATGGTAATAACTCATAACTCATATTCTGTTGAATTCTTGTAAGTACTATCTCAGCACAAAGCATCATGGTATTCTTTTCTATTATGGTTGTTCCTTCTGATCAAATTCTTTGCTTGGATCATGATATTCGGTTACTGATATCTTCTACATTGGATTTGAAGATGGAGGAGGATAATTGATTTGCGTTACTGCACTTAGAGGGAAAGTTTATTAGTAAGAACATACCCACATACATACATACATATATATATATATAAATATGTATTTTGTATTTTCGAAAGTCATAGGACTTGGAAATGGTAAGTAAAACATGCCAATAATCTTATATAGTGTAACCTTCCTGTCTTTTGTTTGAAAATTATTTAACCATAGCATACTTATGTATACATTTGTTTCCAACGCCAACATTTCCTCCCTTCCTAAATCGAGACATGGGATAACATAGACTCAAAAATCAAAATATTCCAGACTTTCTCGGTATTTTGATGTAGAAAACCTTCCAATCCAGAAACTAGAGGAAGAATCCATGGAATTTGTGATACTAGAAAGTGAATCTGAATTGGAGGAAATTAGTTAAACAGGACGAGAGTTAAATGTTTTAATCTAAGATTTGCTAGTGATGTGATAAACCAAACAAGGGAATTTGGTGGCCTTTAGCAGAATTCCAAGACCAAAAAAATCCAATCTGATGAATGACTGATTTCAGGATTCAATCCTTAGCATACCTGGGCATTGGTGCTTAAGGCTCCATTTAGAACAGCCTTTGGCTTTGAGTTTTTGTTTTTTAAAAGTACTTTTGCAGCCAAACTGGTAAAATAAATTTTTTTAATGATTTACACATAAGGTGTAGATAATATTTTGTTGATTTTTTGTTTTTTTGTTAAATCATTCAATAATGTATAGAATTATGTCTAATTTTAATATTCAAAACAATATATTAGCAAGTTTGAAGTTGAGCATTCGAATATTTGGACAAAATTCATTTTTGTGATATCATAACCCCCTAAACTGAAGCAAATTGAAATTATAGCATGTCCCTGGGGCAAACTGATTTTCGATACTAGCTTCTGAGGGTGATGATAATAAATGATACAAACTGATGAATTCTTGTAAAGGCATAACAAAGATATAATCTGATTAGTAATATGGCCATCCAAGTGGAGAAAAATGACAATATCTTTTTTCTGACAACGCTTCAAAAATAATGCTGCATATTTAAACATGCTACATTATTCAGATAATGCTTAGACTTTGTTATATTCTGTTTATGTGAATATGGCAGTGGATTAACGCACTCAAACTACAAGGAACTGAATATTTTGTACGAGAAGTATAAAAACCAAGGTCTGTCTCTCATTCTGATGGAGCATTATTACAAGTGTGTTGAAACATGGTTATGGATTCTTTGACTGGAATCTTGTTGCAGGGTTTGAGATCTTGGCATTCCCCTGCAACCAGTTTGCCTGGCAAGAGCCAGGAAACAACGAGGAGATTAAGGAAGTTGTGTGTTCCGTATTCAAAGCAGAGTTCCCTATCTTTGCTAAGGTACTGTGCGTTATTGTCTTCTTGTATTAAGGAAGTGGCCATCTTTTCTGGGACAGCTTTCTGACTTTGTTTTATATGTTTTGAAAGCACTTTTGTAACCAAATTAGTAAAATAAAAAAAACTTTTGGCAAAACCTCTAGTCAAAACTGATTTTTAATGGGTTTAAACACCAAAATTACAATTTGCAGATTTTAGAAAATAATTTTGACTTTTAACAAAATTTATACTTGAAATTTTAAAAGTTATTTTCATCAAATACATAACTTTTATTTTTTTTTAAAAAAATGACAGCAGTTTATATAGTTAGTTCTACCCAATAGCAAATAACTTCTTTAGTTAACATTCACTTCAACAGCAGTTTTAGAACTCACAACATAAGTTATAGTTGCCTCAAACACCTACTTAGTCAAAGATTTCTGACTCAGCTTACTTGAGTATGCTATATGCTAGTTACTTTGCACACAGAAACACAGTCATCAGGATTTTATTAAAATCTTGTATCTTACTATTGTAGATTGATGTGAATGGGAAGAATGCTGCTCCTTTTTACAACTTTCTAAAATCACAGAAAGGTGGAATACTTGGAAATTCCATCAAATGGAATTTCACTAAGTTTTTGGTAAATAAACAAGGCAAGGTTGTGGAGAGATATTCTCCAAATACATCACCTCTTAAGATCGAGGTTAGAACCCATGTACTTTTTTTTTTTTTTCTTTTCAATATCGATTAGCTGATCCCGAGAAAAACTGTGAATCCTTTATCCATCTTATTTTGTATCCGCTTGCAGAAAGATATACAGAACTTGTTGGAATCTTCTTGAGCATCAAATTCTAAAGGTATAAACTTTCCACATTTGAATCAACTCTGTATGCAATATAGGAAATCAAAACCTTCATATTGTCTTATAAGATTAGAGTTTTCTTTTTGCAGGGAAAGGAAGAATAAATATTGGTGCTGGGAACTGGTTTGCAAGATGATGAATCTCAAGTATAAGTTACCTGTAATCTATGGTTTACTAGATTGAACAGTTTCAGTCCCCTCCTAATTAGAGGTATAAATTGGTTGGTGCAAGCTGAAAAAATTTAAATTACCAATAAAACATATTCTATCATATACATTAATATTAATTTGGAAAATAAAAACAAATATTTGATTATTATAGAATAAAATACACATAATAAGTAGAGTAGTAAAAATATTTGTTTCTTATCAGTGTTTTATGAATTCTCTATTTAATTAGCATGTGAAAATTTGTTTTTATTTGTTTTTACGTATAGATTTACTGCATTTTAAATAATATTTAATAGTCTTGAATGTTCTATAAATCATATATTAATATGTTGCTGTATATCTTATACATAACCATTAACTTCATGAATTATTATTATTTATTAAAATGGGAATTCTTATATTTGATTTCTTTTATTTTTTAAGATATTTTACACTTCCTATTTAGATTGATTCAAAATATTGTAAATTAATGTACAAATTAAATTAGAGGGACGTTATAAATTAAATAAAATAACATTAATGGGTATCCAGAAATGAAATCATAAATTATAGTTTCATAATACTTATGTCGAAATAGAAAATTTATTATCAGGTTAAAATAACATTTCATAATATTCTGCTCTATATTATAAAAGAAATATTATTGACAACTGTATTTTTACGGGTCTATTATTCATTATTATCGTCTTCCGGTATCTGAACTTCTTATATTGTTTAGTTGGAAAAGTTCGATTGTTATTCTTCTCATCAATTTTGATATCTCGATTACTCGAGCATTTCTTTTTCGAGGGATTTTTGTCTTTCTTTCTTCCTCTCTCTATCTAATCAATACTCAAATTTTGGTATTTTGAGATAACTGAGTTTTATCTTCATCGTTCTTCAATTTCAACATTTGAGTCTAAGAGATGTTATGGGTTGGAAGTCTACACATTTGGTTGAGAATATTTATCTCGTATCCTATTTTTATTACTAATTGAGAAATTATATTCTTAACACTTACTTTTCTAATAACTTAAAAAGTAATACAATACAAAATATTAGATATATTGCTAAAATGAGACTCAATTTATTTAATTAATGGATTTACTTAGATTTATACATTAATTTAATCTGTTAAGATATTGAATAATTATAAATTCGTTGAAATATAATTTATTTGTATTGTAAGTTTATCACCTTTAATTAACAAAATTATAACACGCTAATTATTAAACTAATACATATAAGAATAAAGAAAAATTGCAAGAATAGATTATAATTATCTGAAATATCCTACTCAATATATATATATATATCTGTATCTCTTCATGCATAAACAAAAAGAAATGGCAGTACTTTTTCATATATGATTGTTCACAAACAACTGTAAGTGCATTATTTATATATATAACGTACTCAGTATACATACATACATACATATATATATACGTATCTCTTCATGCATAAAGATAGCATGACAAATCCCGTAAATAATTCTTTAATAATTTTTTTGACAAAATTGTGAAATGAGTTATAGTATTTGTGAGATTTGTCAACTTATATATATATATATATATATTCTTAAAATATTTAATAATTACTTTACCTATTGAGAGTGTTATGAATCCTTGCTGTCTTCCCATCTTACATATAATATTACATGTTAAAAAATTCTACTAATTTTAACTTAGAACATATGGCAATGAATAGTAAAATAAAAAAATTATTTCTTTAAATAAAAAACAAAAAAATCTGTATTCTTCACATTACCCAACATTTGGTTTGTGATGTTGGACATTAAAGTTGGTTTTGAAGATGATAAATCCTTTTTGAAAAATCAACACATTATTGTTTGCTTCTATATTTATATTAATGATGTGGTGTTTCTTTCTCACATATTCATGACATATACTTACCTAATGTAATGTAATTGCATATCTACTCCTTTGACTTATAGCCATTTGCAATTATGCAAAAATCAATTTCTTCATACCATTCAATTGTTATAAGTCAAAGGAGTATGATAAATGTATTTATTATAAATCTTTTGAGAGTTTCCACATTATTGTTTGCTTCTATATGAATGATTTGGTCTTCTTCTCTCAAATATTCATGACCTATACTTACATATGTAATTACATGAATATATGATGATATTTTCCTTTATTAGTCTCTTTCTATAGAAAACATTGTGAAAAAAAAAAATGTAATTCCATTGATTTTAAGTATTCAATTACTGTAATCTTGGTTTAACAAGACCAAAATTGCATCTTCAGCTCATTACCCCTCCATTACTTTGTCCAATTCGAATAGATGTGTGGAGTACAATGCCTATGCTCCACGAGTGGCATTAACCCTTTCACAGTTGCAATTGGTCCCTATTAGTATAAACATTGTTAAACCGCGAGTGGCATTAACCATTTTTCGATTGTCAAACTCTCACCTTGTACGGATCTAATGTCATCCATCAATAACCGCGTAAATCATCTCTATGTATCTTTCGATTCCACTCTCATAATTGTCTATGCAATTAAGAACATTTCTTACCGGATGTTGCAAGTAGTTGACAATTTCTAAGTTTCTTTAAAAAATATTGTCTGTGCCAATTATTGGCCTATAATCGGTCATCCACCCTTTTTGTAACACCCCAAATTATTATTATTATTATTATTATTATTTTATATATTATTTTATTGTATTTTAAATTTTATTGTAATTTATTATGTAGTAATATATGTTTTTAAATTAGTTTAATTTAATTAAATAAAAATAAAAAGGGACAAAATTATTTTTGGGATTTAATTGAAAATAATTTTGAGAAAAATGGGTGAAAATTTGGGTTATTGGGGTGTTTTTGAAAAGAAAATCGAAAATCGGGGGTCAAAATACAATTTAAAAAATTTGCGTCACGTCAGCAGCCTCGGCCAACCAGGACAGGCTGCGTGGCAGAGACGTTGACGCCGGAGGCCACGCGGAAGGGAGCCACGTGGGCAATCCGCGTGCGCGCGATCGAACGACTAAGATCCGTTCCCGCGCGCACAGACGGCCCAGATCAAAAGCGTGCATGGATGGCCCAGATTAAATCGCGCACGGATGGCCCAGATTAAATCGCGCACGGACGGCCCAGATTGCATCGTGATGAACAGCTCAGATTCATTTTTTTTAATCGCGATCGGACAGCCCAGATTAAATCGCGATAGATGGCTCAGATAAAAAACAGAAGGTTATAAATAATCTCATCCACACCCAAACCCTAATCCTAGCCGCCAAAGCCCTCGCCGGAGAAGACTGCCCAGCCACCGGGGGAACCGACCGCCGCCACCCGCCGCCGTACTGGAGCACTTTCCAACCGCCAAACGAGGTAAAAATTTTCTCATTGGCTTGGATTTCGATTCTAAACCCACTTGTGGTCGAATCAGATCCAAACCACCAGCCAATTGGCCGAAAAATGCCACCGAAGCCCAGCGACGTCGCCGCGGGTTTTCTTAATTTTTGCATCCGATGACGCCCTTTCCGATTCCCGTTCGATGTAATTTTTACACCATTGTGACCACCGTTCCTTCCTCTACAGGTTGACAGGAGCAAACCACCAAATCGCGACTCGAGCCGGAGGAGCCACCGCATCGGAGAGCCCCACCACCGGCAAGTTTCGGTTTTCGGTATTTTTTCAGCCCACCGAGGGCCCTAGGGGTGTTTTATCACAGGAACCAATGCAAGTTTGGCTGAATACGACCGAAAACGGCCAACCTGAGGTGGATCGCCGCCGCAAGCGGCGACGTCGTCGCCAGAGCACGGCGGAGCCGCCGTGCCAGAATTACAAAATTGGCCGAGTAGGCCCTGGGTCCGATTTTGAGTCATTTGGGGTCATGTGCAGGTACTGTAAGTCCGTTTCAGTTCCCAGGAAAAAATTCAGGGAATCTAGGGACTGCCCGTAGGCGCAGTGAAAAACCGGTTTTAAGACTTCGAATCAAGTAAAGATCTCTCACCTTATTTTCTATCACGGAATTAAAGTTTAATAAATGATAAAATAGTATTTTATGAATTAATAGATATGTATAATTAATTAAGGTTGCTAATGGAATCCGAATCTGATATACTTTTTTGGTCAATTCCTATTTTATTTATTTTACAGTTTTAAATGTGTTAAGGTATGTGGCTTATTTATTCTATGATTTTAAATGTAGCGCCCGGACCGAGAAGAAAAAAAAAAAAGCCACGTTGGCAGCCACGTCAGCAGGCCCGGTAAGCAGTCCCGGCCAACCGGGGCCTGCCACGTGGCAAGACCACGTCGTTCTGGAACGGGCCACGTTGGCGATCCGCGTGGGCGCGATCGGACGGCCCAGATACAATCGCACGGACGTCCCAGATTCAATAAAAAACGAATGGCCCAGATTAAAACAAAATGGACGGCTGAGATCAAAAGGCTAGGGGTTATAAATAGAACCCCCACACCAGACCACAAACCCTAGCCGCCTGCCGCTCGCCGGAGAAGACGAACCAGAGGCCGACCGCCGCCACCCGCCGCCGCACCGGGAAAATTTCCGACCGCCGATCGAGGTAAATTTCATACCCCCGACTCGTTTTTCTCTGCTGATTCCTCCTATGGCCAAATTGAGGCCGAAATCCCGGCCAAACGGCCGGAATACGCGGCCGAAACCCAGCGGCGCCGCCGCGCCCCTCTCGGTTTTTGCCTCCGACCAGGTCCTTCCCGGCCTCCGTTCGATGCAATTTTTATATCACCGTGATCACCATTCTTTTCTCTACAGGTTGACCGAAGCTGAATCACCAAAACACGAACCTCGCCGGAGAGCCGCCGTACCCGAGAGCGCCGCCGCCGGTAAGCTCCGCTTTTCCGTGATTTTTGGCCCCCCGGGGGCCCTAGGGTTGTTTTCTGACAAGGACCAATGCGAGTGTGGCCGAATTCGGCCGAAAACAGCCAACCCGAGGCGACTCGCCGCCGCCAGCGGCGACGCCGTCGCCGGAGCACGGCAGAGCCGCCGTGCCGGAGTTGCGATTTGGTCCGAAAGGGGCCCTGGGCCTAATTTGGATTTTTTTTGGAACACGTGCAGGTACCGTTAGTGTGTTTCAGTTCCCCGGGAAAAATTGAGGGAAAATTAGGGACGGCCTGTAGGCGCACTGTGAATCGTATTCAGATCCCGAAAACAAGTAAGGACCCCTCACCCTATTTCCTATCACGGTATTAAAG